CAGCAGGATAAAGAAGTGCTCCTGAGCGTGGTGCCACCACCCTCCCAATCCACCCACAAACCAGCAGCCATCGGAGCCCATGAAATCAGCTCGGGTTGTCATACAACGCTGAAGAAACATTTCAAGGACTGCACTGAAGTCTTGTGATTTTATTTAGATAAAAATCCTGTACAATTCAGAGCACTCAAGAACTACAATTGCTTTTTAATCAGTAATGCAGACATTTATAGCTATGTGCTCAAAAACCAAAAAATCCTCCTAGCTTGCATACTGCTTTGGGCAAATGGTATTTTAACAGTAAGCTTGATTAAAGAAGGAATTCTACAATGAAGATGATTGCTCTTCTTCATCGTATCCACGAGCGAGATGTGAAGAAAAGGCAAGTCAAAATTGTCTTGAGCTGTAAGGCAGAATTCTTTCTACCTGCATGGGGAAAAAGGAGATTGACATCAGTCACTCTGTTCATACCTTCAACTGTAATTATTTTAGGAAAAAAAGTGTTTTCCACAAGGGAACTCCAACTGCAGAGTCAGAGGCTCCAGACTCTAGCGAAGTCACCAATGTCCCACCTCCAACCAAGCTTGGCATCCCTCACCATCGGTGACCTTCATGCCGATGTCCCACCAAAGCCTCTGCATGCCACGCTGCCACATGGGCACAGTGCACCCCAGACCCTGCCCCAGGGCCAGGTTTCCATCCCCGCTGCCCAAAAGCGACTGACAAACCAGGAAGAGTGGCTGTATATAATTTTCCAGAGCTCTGTTACCTAGAAATGTCTGTACTGTACCAAATAATGGGTCCCTTTACCTCAGCATCCCATCTCAAGCGGCAGTTAGAAGCAAACACTTAAGCACTTACGGCATCCCTTCTAAATATCCTTCCAATCCAACCATTTTTGCGTCTGGGGGATCTCTTGAGCCTTTCCCCAGCCCCCAATATCACACCTCAGCTTTTCTGCTACAAATTAAGAGCATATCTTCTTCTGTTGTCCCCCACTAGAAAGCTGACCTCCATTTTCTCTTGTCCCCGGAAGCCCAAGACCCCTCCTAGCCTTTGCTGCTCTACAGCAAGGAAGGGCTGGAGAGCTTTGAGGGAGAGCAGCATTAGATAGCGAGAAGTGAAGGACTTGGCATTTCTTCCTGGGAAGATGTAGATGGATCCAAGGCAGTTTTTCCAATTTACAAAGTTCACTTGACTCATGATTCTGTCTCGGTCTAAAAGCCATCAATAACATTTTCTGGTCCAATGTGGAAGGCATTTCAAGTGAGGCCTTGCCAAGGCTCGTCCTAGGCGCAATTAATAATCCAGCCTCTACCAGGGTCCGTAACTAAGGTGTTTCAACCAGCATTGCAACTATGTCAGCTAGGCCATGTATCTTTAATTTTCTTTTTCCTTTCAAGGGTTAAACTAGTATTTACCCAATTGCTGAATCCAGATCAGTTATGCCCAGATAGTTTGAAGAACCCGGACCACTCAGACCGTGAGACACTGGTGAACCAAGACTGCTTCTGGTCTGGCAGCAAGGCCCTGATCTCTGCCTCACAGATCCCACATTACCAAGCCGACACGCCAGCCTGCCTCCCCCCCAAATCACAGGGATTTCCAGGTATGGCAACTTCCTCCTCACCAGATAGAAGATAGCACCGCAGGGTCTGGAGAAGCCCTAGAGGATACGCAACAGCTCTGAACGATATCTGGCAGACATGTGGCAAAGTTTTGCTCCAAGGGGTTCCTACCTCTTGTAGGCAAGGTATGGCTGAGAACTGGCCAACATAGTGGGTAGAAAGGGTGTGGGAACAGCCCCGCTCCCAATCAGCCGAAACACTACAGATATGGGGGTTTTTTTGGTGGTTGCTTTTGTTCCTCAACTCTGCAAGCCACAGACTTCCCCCTGCAGAAAGCAGTCCACATTCCCCTTATCAGCACAGCACGGTGCATCAGCGTAACTCACCATGATTATCCCAGACACAGCTTAGAAGTCTGCATCTGCAAGAAGGAAGGGGAGAATGTTAGGCTGCGAGGCAAACGGCACCCCCTCTCACCATCACCACAAGCCCACCCCTGCTGGAAATAGCCCCAGCGCAACAACCAGAGGGCTGCCCTTGCTCGGCTGTCTCCTTGCTGCAGCAGGCTGGGTCACCACGATCGGTCCCCACCGCTGTATCCTTCTTTATATTCACCAAATATAAAGCCAAAAATCACTGCACAACCCATCTCTTTCTAGACAAGTTCACCTAGAAAAAGATCAGAGTGCTCCACTGAGAGTCGTCAGACACGGCATTACCAAATACCTACAGGTAATACCAAGGCAAGTCTTCCCTGTCTGCTACTAACAAACTCTTTCACAGATACGTATACACAGCCGTTTCAGCAGCCCAGCTGAAACCAAGCTAATTTTCCATCTGTAGCACAAGACCTTCAAAATCCACCCCATTATAGCACCCTGTTTCCTGAGAAGGGGAACGGAGACACTGTGGATATAAATTAACGAGCCCTGGCTTCTGCACGTGAACGGGGGCAAAACTTGAAGAGGAAGGCACACAATACCCCATTGGAACAACTGCGGCTCTCTGAAGGTGGAATGGACCACCCTGCAAACGTAGACGTCACCCTTCTGGGGGGTGAACGGCGCGTACACCAGGCGCTGGAATTGCCACTTCTCATTGAAGGACATGTCTGTGTATTTCACGTTGCTCATGGGCTCCCCATTCTTGAGGAGGGAAATGTCAATCTTCGGAGGGTGGAAACCGCTCACGAAGCAGTTGAGGACGTTTTCCTCCCCGTCTGCGACATGTTTGCGGGAGTACACCTCCACCTTCGGTGCCTCTGCAGAGGGGGGTAAGGCGTTAGTGAGAAGCAGGGCTGCAGCGG